TCGCTTTACCTTCATCAGATACATATATGATGTCCTATCTAGGATCTAGGAGCTCCCTTGTTACACCCGCTGTCTGGACATATTTAACGGTATGTCTGCCTTTATAGTACATTATTTTTAAGCGTATATTATATCTCTTTATCTTTATATAAAACATTTCAATCACTCTCAATTTTCGTCGAGTTGTTAATCATTGATATGGCTATCTCTTTCCCTTCTTTAGCATAGCTACCATTATATCTCTGTCCCTTTCTTTTCTATTTTCTGAACTTTCATAATCATAGTCTACAGACAGAAATCATTCGCATTTTAATCTTTGCCTTTACAATCGTCCCACCTTTTTATCTCTCTCTCTCTCTCTATCTATGGGATTTCTATCTGCTCTGACAGCTACATCTTTACTTTATGCATTTACCATTTTTATTTTTATTTTCTAGTCCAAGTCTCTCATCTCACCTTTAGCCATGTCTCCCGCCACATTATCCTCATCCACTTCCTGCTCCGAGTCCGAGTCAGATGACTCCGAACTGCTCTCCTCCTTCTGCACATCGTGCCTGGCACGCCGTTTGGCCTTTTTGCCAAGGGCTAGGGTGCCGGCATCTCCATCCGTGGACGGGCGGTTCTCGCCGAGGACAGCGACTCCTTTGGCCTTGTACGCCTTGGCCAGATTATCCAAGTCAAAGTTCTCCTCATCGTCGTCGTCCTCGTTGCCAATATTCTGCAGAGTGTCCTTTTCATACCAGAGAGCGACACGCTGTTGGCGCCGCGTGTCCTTGTCCCGGAAATCCCCCGACTTGATTAAGGGATGCTCGGTTCGCTGTTTCTTCTTCTTGCCTTTTGTATTGGACGACGCGTGATCCTCATCGTCGTTGTCGCTGAGTCCGAGTCCCTGCTGATCGTAGTCGCTGTCGCTGTCCTCATCTTGGCTCAGCTCCGGCTCGTCCTCGTTCTCGTAGTTGGCATCGTCGTCCATGCGTTTGTCATCCTTGTCGTATTTCTTGTATTTGGGCAATTTGGGATGCTCGACGGGCTCGCCCTCCACATCGAAATCGGGCTGAACGTCAAGCATGTTGTTCAGCTCGCTAATGCTGTCGATGCCCTTTAGATCGAAGATCTCCTGCTCGCCTTCTTCGACTGGACCATCATCGCCCTTGATGACCATGTTGAGGTTCATCTTTTCGTGGAGTTTCGCCTTCGCCTTGAGCGTCTTCTTGCGTTTGCGCTTCAGCTCCTTTTGCTCCTCCTCGGCGAGGGTTTCAATTTGTTGCTGCAGCTCGGCATCCTCCATATCTTCGACCTGCTCTTGGGTCAAAGGAGCTGGCTGCTTGTCTGTCTCTGGCTCCTCGATGACGCCTTCTGGTTCCGTTTTGAACAGCTCCTCCTTGATGTGTTTCCACCAGAGCAGCAGGCCCTTGATGTCCTTGCGACCGAGCACCTTCAGATCCTTGCAGCACTCTAAGATCTCGGTCGTCGTCCTCTTGTGCTTGGCGATGCGCTCATCATCGATGCGAATGGAGCCGATGCCCTGGAGGGCAGCCAACGCATTCTCCGCCTTCATGAACTCCGAGGCAGCCAGATCGTTGCGCAGGGCAATGTCTTGCTCCGTGTAGCCCTCGGCCTTGACGCGCTTCTGTTTCTCTGGATGCAGCAGACTATTCTTCTGTTTGCCTTCCAGGTCCAGCTCCTCGAACACATATTTTGCATCCAACAAACGGGGATCGATGCGATCCGGTGCCAAGTAGCCCTGGCAGACGACGAAGATTTCGGCGGACTCTTTACGCGAGGCACTGGGCTTGGTGGCGTGCACTTTCTTGAAGAGCTGCTTGAGTACCCAGAGCAGCGCATTGTAATCCTTAGAGCGGAAAACCTTCGTTACAAACCAACCGCCGCCACGGAGGAACTGCGTGCCCAGCTTTAGGGCATTCAATGTGAGACAGATCTGCTGGTATGCATCGTAGAGCCAATTGCGTCCAACATTTGGCGCACCATCGTGCAGCACTACATCAGCTTTCCACGACTGCAGCTCCTTTGTCAGGGACTGGCGGCATTTCTCTGTGGTAATGTCCTCGACGAGGCCAATGCAGCCGGCAATTGGACGTATTGGGAATAGATCGACGCCGATGACAATGCTGGAGACAGGCATATTCTGTTTGGCCACCTGCATCCAGCCGCCAGGTGCGGCGCACAGATCGATGCATACCTGCGACTGTTGTAGGAAACCAAATTTGCGATTCAATTGGATGAGCTTGAAGGCGGCACGTGAGCGGAAGCCAGTCTCTTTGGCCAACTGGTAGAATTTATCTTTACGCGTCTTTCCTACTTTTGTTTTCTTGCCCATTTTGTTGCTGTTGTCAACGAAAACTCAACCGAAAATGGAAAAAGAAACAGAACACGCCGCAGTAGCGCGTTGCACGTGTTTAAAGTTTTTTGGAAGGGTGCCTGCGTTGCCAGATGATCGCAATGCGGCCACATAAAAAACAAGCTATCGATATACATAGCATCGTTAGTTGCTCACTGGAAAATATTATAATAGGAAACAACAAAATATTGAATCATTTAAATACGCAAGATTAATACTCGATTAATACACGAAGAATAATCAAATCATATTTATAATTGAAAATGGAGCACCTAAAACTCTTGATAAATTGAACTGGCTTCTACTTCTGGCAGCACTCTGTTCATTTATTGCTCATACCTATCGATACCTTTTGCTGTTTGGCTACTCATCACTAAGCTCGAACCGTGTGCCGCATAATTGTTATTTATGTATTTAAGTTGAATTTTTGTATTAAAAAATTATATAATTAACATGCTGCGCACTGTTCTAAGCGATTTGGCACGCCTACGGTATATAAAAATCATAATATATTCCTAGATGTCTTATATATATTAGTTTTCTCTGATAAAAACAGGCTGAACGGATCCGTCTGCTCTGTTACACAAGTCCGCGAGAAGGGACACCTGAATCGGCCGCGTTTAAGGAATCCCTATTGGTTTATACGACAACAGCGCTCAGTAAGCCATCTAATCTAATTTAGTCGACAACTGGTTAACTAATGTCAACTCCTTACAGCAAACGGATGATCAAGTGACTGGCGAAAATCGCAGTTTCATCAAAGAAGTGATCCATGATACCTACGGCACTCCGGCTTTAATTAAAGGCGTACAAACCTACGAACAGAAGCAGTTGATCAAAACGAATGAGTTGCCTGTACCTACCGAGCCTTGGACACCGGCCGTTCGTCGTTGCGGGGTGATTGCTCGTAAGATTGGCCAATATCCGCTTTGGCTGAAGAATGGAGAACGCATTCGTACTACGCTCCTGCAGGTGGTGGACAACCATGTGATTAAATATATACCCCCAGAGGAATATAAGCCCACACAGAGGCCCAATGTACATAACTTGAATCGCTATGGCTGCGTCTTGGTTGGAGCGGAGAGCACAAATCCTGCCCAGCTGACCAAAGAGTATTGTGGAATCTTTCGCGATTCAGGCGTGATGCCCACCAAGAATCTAGCCCGTTTCATAGTTTCGCCCCAGGCGGCTCTAGCGCCTGGTACACCACTGAACGTGGGACACTTCCGCGTGGGCGAATTTGTCGATGTCCGCGGCAAGACGTGAGTGACGAGAGGAGAGAAGTGTCAGAGAAGAGTGTCATGTTGCTTATTCTAACCCGCATTCTTTGCAGTGTGTATCATGGATTCCAGGGCGTGGTCAAGCGACATGGATTCAAGGGCATGCCCGCCTCGCATGGTGTGACAAAGACGCATCGCCGTCCCGGCAACATTGGCGGCGGTGGCGAAAAGGGACGCGTCTGGCCGGGCACCAAGCTGCCCGGTCACATGGGCAACCGTTGGCGCATCAGCAAAGGTCTGCGCATCTGGCGCATCAATACCAAATACAATGTGATGTGGGTGCAGGGCAGCGCAGTGCCTGGCTCCACAAACGGCCTGGTCTACATCTACGATACGATCCTGCCATTGCGCAAGCCCCAAGCTGCGCTGCCTATGCCCACGCTCTATGAGCAGCCAGAGGATGAGGCGCCCGACGACATTTGGTATGAGCAAGTGCATAATTTCAAGGACGAGTCCATCACCTATAAGCCGGAGTAAATCGCAATTAGCTTTAATATTCAGTTCCCATCTTTCTTTCTGTTATGCCTTACATTGTATAGAGCTCTGTGCAAAGTATCCTAGATAAAGTTATGTAAACTAAACAAATCGAGTTTGTTGTTTATGATTGATTCTAGGAATAAAGCTAGTTTATAATATTGATATTCGAAGTTTGTATTCGGAATTGAAATGGAAATGTAAAATACGCGTATGTGCATGCCTATTAGAGATCTATTAACATATATAGCTTCCTCGTATAGATCAACTCAGTTCCTTATACTCTCGTTCATGAAATACTGAAGAGTATATTGGTTTTGTGTATCTGGTGCCCTTTCTGTGTTGAAAATTGTATTTAAATTTCAATTTTATATTATCTTTATATACAGTGGAATCATGTTATAACAACTCCGCTCATAATGTCCGTCCGGTTATCGCGACGGTGATTCGATGTCTTAGTCGGTTCTCATAGTGAGAGAAAGAAAGAAAGTGCACTGCTGACATCATTTTCATTTCTAGTTTTTTTCAGTTCCTTCCATGTCAAATTTAATGCGCACATGAATATCAAATCAAAGATAATGCTCGTTAATATGATCATTAAGTTCAAATTCGATACTACAGCAGAAATATTATCGAGGGCGCAATTCAATATTTTCGATATTTTGAGTGCAAGAATTTGATGCTATCGATAGTATTGTTTTTTTTTTTTTTAAATCTTTTTTACTACATTTTTTGAGATTGAGGTAGCTTTTACTCAAAAATTACAAAATAAAATGTAAAATAAGAACATTTTAACATATATGCGAATATACGCGTGATTTTCCAATCGCGTATGACTATCGATATGTGTGATTTGTCTATAGTTTACGACTATCGATAGGGGTAAACAACTATCGTGGCGCTGAAGTTTCCCAGCTCTAAACGACACTTGGGAATTAGAAAAATGTAAAATGGCTTTAAAACGAAAGTGTTTCACCGTTGAAGAAAAAATGCAAATAATTCGCCGCCTGGAAGCCGGTGAACGCAACGTAGCCCTGGCCAAGGAATTCTGCGTGTGCCACACAACAATTGCCACAATAAAAAAGAATAAGGAACAAATTAAAGCTTTGTTTAATAGTAATGTCCTAAAATCAAAACGTGTCAGAGCGTCGACACAAGATCAAGTCGACAAGGCATTGTTCCAGTGGTTTAAAATGCAACGCAGTCGAGGAATCTCATTAAACGGTCCACTGCTTCAGCAAAAAGCGAATTTTTTCGCTAAACAATTTAAGATTAAAGACTTCAATTGTTCTGGTAGCTGGATAAGCCGCTTTAAGGTGCGGCATAATATCCTCTCCGGCACAGCCAGCACAGAATCTTTGCCTGATACAAAATGCGATGCAAAAGAGTGGGTAACGCAGATTTGGCCTGCACTACGCAAGGATTTCAGTGATGATGACATTTTTAGTGCCAACGAAACTGGACTGCTCTACAAATTAACTCCAGACAAAACGTTGAATATGAAAGGTGGGAAGCGCGATCATATTGAAAAGATCTGTTTATTGAAATTTCAATTTATAGGTGAAAAGTGCACTGGCGGGGAGCTATCCAAGGAAAGGATTACCTTGCTTCTTGCAGCCAATATGAGTGGCACTCTAAAAAGGAAATTATTGGTTATTGGAACATCCAAGCGATCTAAGTCCTTCAGAAATGTTCAGTCTTTGCCTGTTGGCTACTATAGTAATCGCCAGGCATGGATGACGTCTGAAATTTTTACTAGTTGGGTACGCGATTGGAATGCTGAGCTTAAACAGCAGGAAAAGAAGATATTGCTATTAATTGATGATTGTCCAGCCCATCCCATCATAAGTTATCTAACGAATATCACGCTAGTCTTCCTGCCACCAAGTACAAATACGAAATCAATATTACAACCGATGGATCAAGGTATAATCCGCGTGATCAAATCCACTTATCGCAAGAATCTTATACTCAAAATAATCAGCGATATGGAAAACAGCATCGATGAAAATTACCCGAAAATTAGCATTCTAGATGCCATTTTAATGCTAAATGATGCATGGCAACAACTCTCGCCAGAGACAATTGCGAAATGTTTTAGGCAGTCTGGGCTTGCCAAAACTAAGTTAGATGTTCCACGCGATGATATTGAAATCGAAGATGACATTCCTCTATCGGTTTGGGCCACAGCTCTAAGAATTCAGCTGCCGATTTCAAAGGAAGTGCTGGATGAATATGTTCTCATTGACAATGGGTTGGCGATTTGTGGGGAACCTTCTGAAGACAATATTGTTAAAAATATATTAGACGACGATCAGGATAGCGACGACAGCGTCGAAGATCAATGTGAAGATGTGACAGCACCTAGCGTTTCGGAGGCATTTCAAGCTGCAGAAGTTCTGAGTAGATTTGTTCATTCCAATTGTAGTGACGAGATCTTAACGCACAGCATGTCTCGTTTAAATAATGTCGTGCGCAACTATTTTTATATATCAAAAACTGCTGCTAAACAATCAAAAATTAAAGAGTATTTAGTTAATTGAAAAGAAGAGAGAGAATATTGAAATAAAAATCGTAAAGTCGTCGGTCCCTTGAGCGTCGTTATAGGTGGACTCCACTGTATATACTTTATGGGGTGTACATATGTTATATACGCTCTCAGATTCGCATTTTCAATGGGTTCCAGATATAAAAAATGACTGATTATTATTAATCCGATAGTTCTGGTCCCAATACAAACTTGGAAGGTTGTAGCGTATTCCGGATATAACGTCGGTTTAACCGGATTCTACTGCATTTCATTTAAATTGTTTAGAATAATATATTTTACAAATAACTTATTTTTGTATTTATATATCTCAATTGTTTTATTTATTAATTTGTTAATTCATTTATTTTATATTTTAGTTTTTAATATTTTTATACATATAATTTTACCTAATTATAAACTCAACACATTTTTATTTTATTTTTATTGTGTCTGAACACTTCAAAGATTTGTTAAATTTATTTAAATTTTAGTTATAATTTTTTTTTCCGTTTAAATATTTTTTTTAATGATCTAATTACACAATTTCAGACTAGCTTACGTGAAACAATTGATCAGTTCTCAATAAATAACATGCTTGGCTAAAACTTTAAGCTGTTTGATTGAAACATGAAAAAAATAAAATATAATATGGATTTTCTAATATAATTTCCTTTCATTTACAAATACACATATATATGATGCATATCTATATATATATATATATATATGTATATATACACATAAAGGAAACAAGACTCGTGGAAGTTATCACAGCAAAACGAAATAGAATTAAAAGAAAAAAAATATATGAAGATATATCTAACTCTCTTATGGAAAACACCTTACAGACTTAGATAAAGATATAAAGAGAGAGCCGAGAGAGCTTCCACACGAAATTTTGAAAATACATATATATATATATATATATACGTATATATATGGGTGTGTGTGTGTCTGTAGAACACGTAACCAAAAGCTAAAGCTAATCAATCGAGCGAGTTCTGCCCTACGCTATGAACATCCAGTTCGGTGCTTGAGATGCTTGGCGATATGGTTGTTGAATTATTTGAATTGTTACCGCCGACCAGCACTGCGGACGCCCGATCCAAATTGTAATACTGTACAATGCGAGCGGGCGGGCGGTTCGATATGCATTCCGTGATCTTGCAGACGACCCACTTGGTCAGCTTGATGACGGCCACGTGCGCAGCGAACTGGAGAACGACAGCACCGAAGCCCTTGTAGAGGCCAGCCACACCCTCGGTTAGAATCGTGGTGCGGTAGCAATCGATGGCGCCTTGGTAGTTCGTCAGAATGGGAACCACAGCATAGCCATTATCCAGATTATCGATGATGGTGCGTGTGCCCTGCAGCTGCAGGCGGTGCAGGATCGTTTCGAAGGGAAAGAACAGCATCTCGGTGGTGAGCATCGATATCAAGTTGGCATAGATCTCGGCGTTTTGATGCTCCAGCGTATCGTCGCGATGCTTGGCACCGCGCTGCTCCTGCTTCATCGTCAGGCGTCGCCGCATGATACGCGACGAAACGCCGCGTATAACCAGGCCAAATAGATATTTGGTAATGCCCATTGTAACGCTGGGTCCAATCAAGGCCCAGGCGGGCAGCATGCGTCCCTTTTGCGGCGAGCTCCAGTAGAAGAGGCGCAGGCTGCCCTCGCGAAAAACATCGAGCAGGCCAGGCTTCTCGCTGGCGATATCACTTTGAACAGTCTCCACCAAGGAGGCGGCATAGAAGGGCACAACCAGGCCGATGCTAATGCTGCAGACAGAATCAGAATTAGGATGAGTTTAGTCCATGATGCGCTGCTCCAAGGACACTTGCCTCTTCAGCAGTAGGTGCTGTCCGAAACGCTTGAGTGTCGTCCGGCTATCCACATCCTTTGGCCAGCTGGTGAACTTGCTAATTACATCGTCTATGGCCAGAGTCATGCCGCGCACAAGCAAACAACTGCCCAGGCCCTTCCACAGGGTGGTGACACCTTGGCGCCGGTGCAGATGCATAATGCTCGGCATCAGTTGAAACGGATGCAAGTGATAGCGCTTCGATGCATTATAAACTTGACACTGGCGGCGCAGAACAATAAATGGATGGCTCAATAGATTCTCAGTAACCAATGAGACCCATTGGACGCCAAAGACTAAATATTTACGCAGCGACGCCTCTAAAGAAAGCAGGAATCAGAATTATATATCATATATACATGACATGCATGCAAGCGTTGTAGCTCACCCTCGTCCTGGCTATCTAAGTATTTGTCCAGCGCCTTGGACTGTTTCTCTATCGAAAGATCTCGATCAGAATTCAAGTATTTTATATGCGATACGGCATGCTGATCCGCATTTATGTTGTCGACAATGGCCTTATCGCGATCCTCCAAACTATAATGATATTGATATAGATGTGTGCTTATTAAATTTATAAAGTCCAAGGCGCGGGTGGGTTACCTGTTAACCAGCTGGATGCCGGGATCGCCTATGAGCTGCGGCATCCTGTCCATCATCTGCTGGTATGACTCTGCTTGTGGATGGATCTGTTCGCCGTAAGCACGATTTGCTGCCGCATACCTGATTATCAATATTGTTAGTGTTTTGGCTTCGAGAGATTCGCATTTGCGGAATTCTTACTCACATTTGGTTTGTGTAATTGTTGATGCTGCCTGACATAATATTGTGTGTACGTGTGTGTGTGTTTTCCTCTTAGTAAATGTTTAATGTCTCGCCAAGTTCCCTGCTATCACTGTTACTGCTTCTGCTGCTGCTGCCACTCTACTTACTTTCTGTTTCTTTAGATTTGTAAATACTAAATAACTTCAATTTCCATGTAGCCCGTGTAAGCATTGAAACTAGAGATGGAAGCGTGCACCCAACACCCAACTCGCTAGCGGGCAGCAGACAATCCGTGAGCAAGAAGGAGAAGACTATTTAAATGGAAAACACTTTTTGTTTAATATGAGCATGTCAGAATAATATATATGTAAATATATAATATGTCTGATATGTTTGCTACGACTGAAGTATGCTTGACAGATAAGGAGAAGTGAACATTATAGGACGGAAAGATGTTATGTTTCAAATCAAATATCGATATATGCACACACATCCACCACGAACAAAATTGCGTGCAATACTTTTCGCATTTCAATGTCACTAGACGGTGGTTGGCGGCATCAGCTGTTTGGGTCCAAAGTTTTGAATATCGATATGTGCACTCTCGCTTACCACAAATGCCGAAGCACGTTATCGATTTTTAGCGGCATTTAAAACAGCTGTTCTTGCAATTTTTGCATTTCAATTTGTAATTTAAATGCGAAAATGACAAAAGCTATTAAAAGTAGTGGCAAAATATGTTTAAAAGCTAAAGTCTGTGATCTGGAGCGCACTCTACTAGGCGGTCAAAGCTTTCGGTGCGTATGAAAACCAGTTGAATATGTAATAATTTATAAAAATTGTATTTTAGCTGGCGCAAATTATGTTCAGAGCCGGAAGTCAAATATTGCGGCGTTGCTTTGAATACCTATTGGGAGCTGACGCCCGAAAAGGACCATATTGCCTATGACGCTCACGTCGCAGACAATACTGCAGCAAAAATTAATTTCACTGCCTTGCTGAGCGATTATTTGCGCGCTGATTTCGATTTGGAGTTGCAGCAAAAAAATTGGATGCAGGCAGATGAGAATTTTAAGAAATTTGTTGGCCAACCAGTGCGAATATTGGCCCAAGAGCCGCTGGAGAACATTATCTGCTTTATGTGCAGCCAAAATAATAATATAAAGCGGTAAGCCTGTCTATTTATACTGAGTTATAGTTTTTGTTGTGAATATTTCTCATACATCTAATATTGAGTTGTTTTTTTAGTATTTCATCGATGGTTCAGTGGCTTTGTTCAACTTATGGCAATAAAATTGGACACTTTAATGGCCAGGATGAGTTCAGCTTTCCCACGCTGAAAGACCTGCAAGGCGGACGCACCTGCAGCCAGCTGGACGCTGAGTTGCGTGCGGCTAAATTTGGCTATCGAGCTAAGTTTATAGCCCGTTCGCTGACGGAGATCGAAAAGCTTGGTGGATTGGATTGGTTTGAGCAATTGCGGCGTATGCCCTATGCGGAGGCACGAGAAGCTTTGGTACAGCTGCCCGGCATTGGCTACAAGGTAGCCGATTGCATATGCCTCATGTCGCTGAATCATCTGCAATCGGTGCCCGTTGATACCCACATCTTTAAGCTGGCCCAGCGGCACTATCTGCCCCATTTGGCCAGCCAGAAGAGCGTCACTAGCAAGATCTATGAAGAGATTGCTCAACACTTTCAGCAGCTGCATGGACAGTACGCAGGTTGGGCGCAAGCGGTAGGTATATCCACAAAGATATGGATAACCAAGTTGCAGTCGGTCATAGCCGACTTGTTATATGCTCGTTCACAATCCAATAACAGCTGAGATGTACATATAAAGAGCTCCAAAACCAGCTCTGAGCAAGTATACTCTATTTTTCATAGTGAACGAGCATAGCCAATATATATATAAATATGATAATGATATATAATATCTCGATTTTAGGTTCTCTTCTGTGCGGATCTGCCACAATTTCAGCCTAAGCTGGAGCCCAGTGCGGCTAAGAAGCGCAAAAAGTAGTATCTTTGTACATATAATAGATGTATGTATATAATCTATAACTATAGCGAAACGTGTTTGTCCTTCAGATAAAAGTTATTTTAAGCCTAAATCCTCCCTGTGTATAATATAACTTTCGTAGCTTCTATAATCCTGAGTCGAAATCATTTTGTCAAGTTTTTTGTTAGAAAATTATTAATATGCAAAATGTAATTCCTAGATATGGATCTCTGGAACAGAGCTACCCTCAATGCTGCATAAAGCTTGTAAGTAGTGTGCCTCATATTGTTATATAGAGAAGTCATAACCGTTTGTATATAATCATATCTAAAAGTTTATAAGGCCTTATAAGGATTATTAAGATTAAAGATATAGAATAATTTAGATACTATTTAATATGTGACAGAATTGAATTGAGTATATAATTTTAGCTTAAGTGTAGTCGTAGGATCAATACGATAAGTTTTCTTCATAATCATTTATGGACTAATATTAAAGCTAGGTTTGTTGGTAAACTTTTGGCAATTAATGATATGGATGATGTTACCTGCGGGGATGGTAATGAATATTCTTAGTCAGAGCATTTTTTGCTTCACTTAAATGTTTAGCTTTGTGTAACTGAAGCTGAAAATTGAGCTCACATAAAACATTTCAACGTCATCCAACACAAACAAGCTTCAAAAAAGCCCGACAAAACTGCACAGGTTCGCCCACTTTTTAAACGCCCACTCACCTGGCTAAGGTGTGCATGGAGACCGCGCACTCGCAGCCACTGGCATGCGAGCAACTAAAAACCCCAAACAAGCCTGCGAAAGTATTTTGCTAACACTTCGCGGGAGATTAAAAGCAATTTACTTATAAATTTTGCACAACAATTTTATGCTTAACCGAAAATAGGAGGAAAGTAAAATGAAAGATAGAGCTTTGGCATGCCGTCGCTCGAATACCCTAGACAGTAAAACATATCAAATAAGTATGAGTGCCCTTTCCGGGTGCTCCCGACTAGAAGATACCTTAGACACAGCTGCTGCAGACAGTCAACGTGTGATATAAAATCGATTTAAATCGATTTCAAGGTATTAGAAGAGCTATCGAGGAATTGAAATTCATGCGATGTTCTTCTTCTTCTTCTTCTTATACTCTTCTTATTCGTATACTCTTATTTTCTTATACTCTTATACTCGTATACTCATATACTCATATACTCTTATACTCTTATACTCCTTACGCATATACTTTTATACTCCTATACTCTTATACTCGTATACTCCTATACTCGTATACTCGTATACTCCTATACTCGTATGCTCGTATACTCTTATACTCGTATACTCCTATACTCTTATACTCGTATACTCCTATACTCTTATACTCGTATACTCCTATACTCTTATACTCGTATACTCCTATACTCTTATACTCGTATACTCCTATACTCTTATACTCGTATTCTCCTATACTCTTATATTCGTATACTCCTATACTCTTATACTCGTATACTCCTATACTCTTATACTCGTATACTCCTATACTCTTATACTCGTATACTCCTATTCTCTTATACTCGTATACTTCTATACTCTTATACTCGTATACTCCTATACTCGTATACTCTTATACTCGTATACTCTTATATTCGTATACTCTTATACCCGTATATTCGTATACTCCTATACTCATATTCGCATAGTTCTATACTCGTATGCTCCTACACTCTTCTACTCTGATAATCGGATACTTTTGTACTCTTGCATTCTTATACACGAATACTCTTATAATCTTAGCATATACATAATTGGGCAGAGCTGGATTCATTGACACGTCTGTGGATCCTGATCAAGAATTATGGTATTCACCCCATCTACTTCTGTCTGTTAAACCCCTTTTGCAATGGGTTTAACTATCTTCTGCAAGGGTATTTAGACCGACAGACAAATGTAAGCCGTAAATAATGGCTAGCACCAACTGCAATTAGGGATGAGTGCGTGAGTCCGTGCTGTAACCCGTTAGGGATGGGCTGACTGACTACGAAAACAACGAGATCTTTCAGTTCAGCTTTACAATCGGGATCAATCAAACAAAATTTATGGTTGGATCAATGATCCAGTGATGGTTGAACATTTGATCATCCCCAGTTAAACCACTGTCGGACGAGCATTAAATGCAGTGGTTATACCCTACTGCTGCACTCTAAATTGCGTTTTGCGTTTTTGTTAGGTTCTTCCTTTTGGGCACTTCACGCAGGCATCTCTAATGCAGCGCCCGTGGTTCGTGGCGTAGTGCTGCTCTCTTTATATGGGTGGGTGAAAATCCGCTTGGTGTCAGCTATAATTTAATTTAGACAACAGACAACCGCAGGCCAGACAAACTCTCGCACACACACACACACACACACACACACAACACAGCACCCACAGGTAACTGGACTTGGACGTTGTTGAATGGACGTCATAGTTGGGAACGACTTTTCATAACCTAAATTATTTATTAGACAGTTTAATTTTCAATTCACAAAAAAGAGCAGAGCCAATCCGAACAGTGGATGCCTGTATGTATGTGTGTATCTGTGTGTGTGTGTATCTATTAAATAGAATATCAAAGTAGTTGATGTTTGGCTCTTGCTTCATGTTTATTTACTTGTAATTACTGCAATGACTTTGGCTGTTTAATGACTCCAGTAATTATAAGTTAATGTTTGATTGGCTTAATAAATGAGTGAGAGGATGATTCATTGATTCAGTAATTCGCTCGCAATTGACGGGTTGATTTCCTCGTTTATTGCTTGCCTGATTGACTGAGTCATAGATCGTCTAATTGATTGAGTTCTTACGATGATTATTATCTTAATTGCCTAGTTGATGGGATTGATTGAGAACTGATTGCTTACTTATATATTGTTTGCTTTACATGTGTATTGACTAATTTGATTGATTGATTGACAGACTCATCTACTGATTGTTAGAAGGATATTTTATAGTCTCGCTGTTCTAAGGACAGACGACATGAGCAGACTGACTATTTGTATGACTGACTCTGATTGAACGTCAATCGTACGTCCGATTGACTGTAAATGATTGACTTGCATCGCTGTTGTGAGCATCCGCTCATACGCCAAGCAGTCTGTTAGCTGCATTAAGCCCTTGCTCTGGGAAATTGAATTTATAATCTCTTTTGGGCCAGGAGTTATGCCAGCTTTGGGGCACAAAAGGCTTGGATACCCTTCAAAGGTAGAGAAGATGTTGAAGAGTTGAACTCTGGCATGAACCTTGGCATTGCCCAAGTGACCGGGTTGTAAACTTTTTCGACAGCCACGCAAATAATGGGCATAAATACGACTCAAACAAAGGCAGCTGGGAGGCAAGCAGCTCAAGATGGAGTTCTGGCCAAGAAGGTGTTGCAGGTTAAACATAAATTACTGCGTCACATGCAACGAGCTTTCGAGGTTGCTCAGCAATAACCGCGTAAAGCGCCAAAAGTTTTGTGTTTGCGAAATTGTGAGAGCGAAATGTTCAAAAGATGCGAAGCTGAAATAGAAAGAAAAGGCAGGAAGGGGTACAAAGTAAGAGGACGAGGCTGGAGACGGTAGGAGGTGACGCGACGAGACAGAATGTGGGTAAGAGATACAAAGTGAAAATTAACAGATAAGAGGGAAGATATAGGAGATGAGATCTAAGAGATAAAGGTTAAAAGGAGTAGGGGGTAAGAGGTAAGATGTAAGAAGTGAGAGGTAAGTGGTGAGAGACAGGATGTGGGTAAGAGATAAATAGTGAAAATTAACAGATAAGAGAAGATAAGAGAAGATATTGGAGATGAGATCTAAGAGATAAAGGTTAAAAGGAGTAAGGCGTAAGAGGTAAGAGGTAAGAGGTAAGAGGTAAGAGGTAAGAGGTAAGAGGTAAGAGGTAAGAGGTAAGAGGTAAGAGGTAAGAGGTAAGAGGTAAGAGGTAAAAGGTAAGAGGTAAGGGTAGGAAAATTTCCATTACGAAGGCGTAGCGGTTGTCAGCAGTAGCCAAAAGGAGCAACCAGTAGCACATAGGAGTAGCAGGAGGCAGAAGAATGTAGGAGATGTGAGAGGCGTGTCTGAGAGGGCTGAAGAAGTGGGAGACAGTCGCAGGCAGACACGGAAAGGAGGAGTCGGCAGGAGCCACGTTGGGAAGCGAGTAGAACGCAGCAGGCGAAGCCAGTGTGGGGTAGAAGGAAGATGGCAACCAGAGGCATGCAGGTGGCAGACGGGGCGGCGGGAGTCGGTGCTGTGGCAGCGAGTTTGCCCTGGTTCAAAAAGTTGCAAGTTTGCATAACCAAAAATTGTTGTTAAGTTGCCAAAAAGTTGCCGCCGAGCCAAAAAAGCAACAACAACAACAACAAAAAGAGCAAAGTTGCCGCAAGAGCTGTAAAGTGTTGGGTTTATTAAATGGCTAAAGCCAGAGCCCCAACCAGAGCCACAGCCAGGGCTACAGCCAGGGCCAAAGGGCGCTGTGGCGCCCATTGCAGGTGAAAAATGGAAATGAGCTTCAGCCAGCCGCATTAAACCCAACACTAACCAAGAGAGAAAAAAATATATATGCCAATTAATAGGAGGTGTCTAACAGAAATGCCAATTAAATGCGAAACGAATGCATTGCCCACAGATCATTGACAAGGCTTGCCAGGTTTCGGGAGAGGGAGAGGGAGAGGGAAATGAAGATGTAGATGCAGATTATGATTATGATACACTTGGCCGCATGAAAGGGCGGTATAGGAACTTCCTCCAGTAGCTCTAGCCAGGTTAGCTGGGGCACATCTGAGTGGAGACTAAGGTGGGGCAAATCTAGTTATAGCATTTTCAAATATATCTAAGTTTTTTTATTTTGGGTTATTATCCAATTAGCATTCCCTTACGCTTCTTTGCTTACAGGATATCTAGTAGTCCTTGTAATACAACAAGAGTAGCGTATATCTCGAGACTCACCTGCCTACAGGGTATTTGCTAGTGCATCATAGCGGCTGCTTTATTACCATATCCATGGGATAATCGCAAATGACAAACGAGTCCATGATAAATACAAGCTGATATCCTCTGTTCACAGGGTATTTCCTAGTCTGTCATATGTAACTCATTCACTCATTCAGCTATATCTCTATGCGGGTAGAGCACTCTGAGCCAGTATAACTCACGCTTGACAACTTTACAGGGTATCTGGCAGTCGCGCATACCCGACTTACTCAAGCATCTCTGTGTTTTTTGCTCTCATTCCGTTCGCTTTTGTGTTCATTTTAATTGAACTGGTGCGTTTTTTATTTTCAATCGCCTTGGTTACAGCCCAAGTCCCACAGGCCACAGTCCGGGCCAGCCCCTGTGGGCCGCCCTCGCCCCCTCTCCAATGCTGCTGTTCAATCAGCAACTGCTGCTGCTCCAATTGAGGACATGCTGACTTATTAACCGCTAATGCTTATAATTGGTGGCCCATCGAGGCCGATGCGAGGCACTGGCAAAAAAGGGGCTAGGGCGGGGGTATGCCTCAGGGGCATTGTGTGG